CGTCATCTCCATCTTCATCTCCATCACCTTCCCTCCTCCCTCTTTATTTCTTCTCCTCCACTCCCACCTTCCCACCTCCCTCCGGCAAGGTGGGAGTAGAGGAGATGGAAGAGATGGAAAACGACGGGCTGTTTGGGGGGAAAAAAACGAGTACTTGATTGCCCCTTATCGTTCTGCAGAGCGCATGTCCACAGGAGGGAAAGCGTGCTACGGTCTATGCATGGTTACTTGCTAGGTGATGTCGGGTTAGTGGCGGTAGGTGTGCCTGCAGGCAAGAGGCTGGACCTTTTAAAGTTTTCAACAGGTGTGTTCTGCAGAGCACTATCCACAAGATGGAAACATGTACTATAGTCTATTCCTGGCTAGTGGCTAGGTGACGTCTGGTTAGTGGCGGTAGGTGTGCATGCATGCGAGAGGCTGGACCTCTGAAAGTTTTGAGAGAGAGAGAGAGAGAGAGAGAGAGAGAGAGAGAGAGAGAGAGATTCATCTCTTGCTAGCTATGAAGCTGATGGACGAGAGCATGAGGTGCTTGGAAGGCTTCATGGATGGGGGGCGACAGGTGGGAGATGTGTGCAACATATCTTTGAGGGGAGAGGAGACATGAACAGAAATCTGTTCACTTCATCACAGATCGCCATGTATGCATTGCTTGTGCAAATTGCAGAGGTTTTGTCTAGATAAACCCCACCATGGTGGGTTATGCAGGGTTCTGGAAGACCTCACTATTCAAGATGTAGAGGATGGCTACTATACGTATGAAGCATAGCACGTTTGATTGGCTATGGGAAGCAGTGTGTCCTTATTTGCAGTGACAAGTGACAAGGTTTAGAAGGCCTTTAGCGGGCTAGCGGGGATTCACAGCAGTCGGGCCTATGGGATGTGGAAGACTAGTGGCTTGTGCGATGTCGAGGGCATGACTGCAACACTCATTGCGGTTTTCCCCAATGCCATAACATTTGGGACAGCAGAGGACAGGTGGTGTTCCATTGCGTGGTACGGTGAGAGATGTTTGTCCAACTTCTGGGAGGGTGTGGAGTGCACACACACATACGTAGATAAACAGACTTCATGACGCGGAGCTCACTACTGTTGTGGCGACATAAAGCATTTCTTGACTGTAGCCCAGGTAGTTTTGGACTATGATTTGCGTGTCCTAGACTCCAATGTTGACTATCTTGGTATGGTACATAACTCTAGGATCTTGAGGAACTCGAGCTTGTTCCGGCATGCACAGGCGGGGTTGGTGTTTGTCTGCCAAGCACAACATCCTGCCTTGTCACATGTTCAGGATGTCCCTGGAGGTTACCTGGTCGAGGATGGGGGCTTGCTGCCTTGGCTGATGACGCCCTACAGGACAGGGCAGCATTGTTGGCGTGCTGCAACGTCCGACCCAGGTTGAAGATCATCGGCGTGGACAGCAAATGCGATAATGGTATGCTAAAGGGGGTGGTTCTGAACTCTCATCGATGGATTTGAAATGGCAGCATTGTGACGCCATGGAAGCAGTTTCGAGCTCTCAGTGTTCTCCACAACATTGTGATCCACATGGGTGAAGACATGAATCGGGTCTTGGCCATGCACGATTGCTGTGGCGGGAACGTCCATTAGGGCGGCCACATATAACTCAGGAGGAGCTGCTAGGGACAGTGCTGGGGATTTTGCCATGTGCAACGCTATACGAGACCACATGTACAGCCTCGAGGAGTGGCTTACAGAAACAATGAACTAATTGTCGTGCACAAAGTGCAGGCATCAGCTATGCAGTGGGACTGGCTATGGGATAGTGTCTGGATGCACGTAAGGGAACTGGACCCAATGAGCCCCAAACCAAAAAACAAAAGAATCATATGATGTTGCGCTTCTGTGACATCTGTGACAAACTTGTATTCCATTTCGATCAACTGTCTTTGGAATACACGGTTGCAGGAGAGGTACAGGGCGTTAACATGTGAATGGAGTGGTTGCATACAGAGAACGGGTCCATGGAACATGAGCTCTTTGAAGTGAAGCACGGCATGGATGCTCTGGGCATGTTGTGGGAGCTGGAATGTTAGAAGCGGGTTGCAGAGAGCTTGAAGTTGAGTAGAATAGAGAAGACAACGGTCATCAGTTCTTGTTCATGCAGTGATACTTGTGTGGCCATGTCGGCATGAGTCCATGCACTGCTGTGTAGGATCCAATGGTTACCCTGGCGTTGCTGGCCTTTTGTGCTGCAGCAGCATACGTGTTGGATTCCTGCATTTGTTGCTAGGTCATGTGTGTGTGTGTGTGTGTGTGTGCTGTCTCTTATACACATCTAGATGTGTATAAGAGACAGGTACCCGCCTCCGCGCACCTCCTGTGGTGAGGAG